TATATTGACACAAGTGCTGTACATAAAAAAAAAAAAAAAAGGAAGTTTGCCCTGGTTATACAATGAAACACAGGGAGACAGGCAAAAAGTAAACAAGTTGTGCTGTTGTTCTTTATGGCACGAATTAAAACCTGAGTTAGGTGAGATGTGTGCCCGGCTGGGCAGAGACCGGGAAAAGCAGAGCAAAGAGTGGGGGAAGTCTGCTTTAACAAAGCTGCGCCTGAGAGCTCATGTCAGGATGCTGTCTGCTGCCACCTGCACAGGTTCTCCTGCAGAAATAACTTACGTTTTTAGCTTGCCTAGCTGAAGATTTACTCTCTTTTTCACTGAATTTGCTTTGTTTCTACAGTATAACTGCCCTTCCTTCTCCCCACAGCTCTCTCTCTCTCTCTCTCCAATTTAGAAGACTTTGAAATAAAGAAATAACCTGCTCCTTGGAAACAGAAATTAGTTGTTACATTTCTCCCTTGGTACAGCGGGGAAAACAGACCTTTAACTTTCCCCAATAGTTTGGAAATTTGGTGCGGAAACGCAGGAGCACCCATTTTCTCCTCCCCCCCCATCCGCTTCTCAGCTAACCTGTGGAGCTTGCTGCCGTGACACGTCGTCAAAAGCGAGTGTTTGCCAGGATTCAGAACTGAACTGAATACGCAAATGAACACTCGTGCACGCACACACGCGCCAATATATATTTGCATACATATTTATATATAAACAGTAACTATTTTTAAAAAGCACAATAACAACATCAAAGAAGTCTCAGGAACCACGGCGCTCTTTGTTCGCCGTAGACAGGCCTTTGTTCGCTGTAGACAGACCGGACCCTGCCTGGTCTGCTGTAGGCTTCTCCAGTGGCCTGCATCAGCTCACATCCCAAATCCCAAACAAGCAGCATTGGTGAGGGTGCTAGAAAGACAGCAGGTGACAACAACAACCTAGTGGTTAGTGGAGGAGGAGAAGATGAATAAGTAAACACAAGCGAAGTATGCGAGTTGCTTTATTAAAAGCATACCCATCGGGCTGCTTCTGCTACCTGCAGCGGCCAACAAATTCCCCGTCCTAACACACTCGAAGTGCCAGGATGCATTATTCAGTGCATGAGTAATTCACCACATTCTTTCGGATAATAGTCAGTTGTTGAGCCGGACTCTCTTTCACGAAGGTCAACAGCAACACCACTATTGTGGTTGTAGAGCGTGGCAGAACCTCGTGGCACCGTACCGACCAGATTAGAACAAGGATCCATGCAAAGATCCCGTGTAACGAAGGCCAGAAGGCTCCCATGTGGGCATAGAGGCACTTCTGTGGAGGATCGGGCCGTGAACTCACATTGAAAACCACAGGAAGGAACTCGTCAAGAGGAGGACCAGCTGCTCGTGTGGCCACCAGAAAAGCCAGTTGGCCAACTGGAGTTTCCCTCTTTGTGTGGAATGATAATTCGGGTGCTGAAGGACAATTGGTGAGCCAAATGTGAGGGTGGCCGCGGTACCTTGGGGGACTCTGCGCCAACTGCTTTAAACGAACCGTGCCGGGTGCTGTGGTGACTCTACTTTTTCTTGCAGGTATCGAGATCAGCCGTGCTGTTGAACTACTGTATTACTACCACGTGCTGTGGATGTAGTGCTTTGCCGGTGGAGAAAGCCCCTCTACCTCTGGTTTTGTAATGTATTCTGGTGCACGGCCCTGCCTCTGTTCGTATTAGGTGAAATGCTGCTGAAGTAGACGGGCCTAATTATGGCCTTTCATTCAAGATTAATATGAAGCCATTAAGCTCGTTTATGCAACCAGGTAGCCGAGCAATAGAAACATCTCAAACAAGCATGAGGCAATGTTGGAGGCCCGAAACCGTGCAATCAGTGGGCTTTCGGTGTGAAAAGGCATGGGAAACGCAGAAGCGAGCGCTGCCTTCACCTACGGACATGCGACAAAACACAGGGTGAGAGAAGGTTCGCTGTGGAAGAGTTGGAAGAGCTACCGAACCCACCAGCGGTCCGACCCCAATTCAGCCCCGAGTTAGGCGGGCTGAGTGGGACAGCTTCACCCTGCGCTCGGGGAAAATGAGCGCCGGTAGCTCTCTTTCGCAGTGACGGCACAGGAACGATGACCCAATTCTTTGCCAGCTTCCCCTCCGAGCCGAAATGCTCCAGAGAAACCCGGCTGTTTTTCTAATGGCTGGATCAGAAAAGGGTAACACCGCAGCAGCGCTTCTGGGACTTGTCCCTCCGCATTCTCCGAACACCGCTCTTATGTTTGCGGTTGTGCAGCGCTAGGTGAGACGCAGGCAGATTTTCTTGGTAATTAACCAGGTCTTCATTGACTTTGCCAATATTACCCCAGGTATTTTTTAAAAGGAAGGATTAGCTGACGTGTGGGAGAGGCTAAGAGAGAAAAATCAATTAAAGAAAAATCAAAGTTGGGTTATAAGGGAAGAACAGAAAAATCTGAGAATGGATTTAGTAGCCAGAGTTTACAAGGCGGCAACTGAATTTTTAATAAATTGACAGTTGATTTAATTGGATGATTATAACTTGGTAGTAAATGATATTTAAACTGACTCTTTCATCGGTTTTAAGATCAACTCCTTTTAAAAAGCTTAGTGTGCCTGTTTTCTTTAAGCTCGGAGGAATGGACGAGAAGACAGATGGAACCCCAGATCTGAACGTACACGTCCACTCCAATCTTTCAGTCGGACCATACTTCCATCTATTTTTCAAGGAAAAAATACTGAAAAGGAGACATTGCTGGGTGGGGGGCACTGAGTAGCACTGCTATGGGACCTTCCTGTCTTTCTAGGGCATGAAAGGGCCTTTTGGGAGAGAAACTTCTTTTGGGCAATGCTGTAGATGAGTGTGAACCCGTCTTCTTACCCATTTTGAAAGTGGGAGAGAATTGCACCCAATGGGTAATTTACAATCACGCTACTTGGATAGACAATGGCAACCATTTTCAGGCTACTGTACACTTCCTTTAAAGTTCTGGCTGCAGAAAAGCACCATAAAGTACTACTTATCCCTTCACATTTGTTAATTTTCGTCAAGGCAGCGTGCATAACTGCCAGGTACTTTCCAAAGAGACAGCCCCTGCTATGAAGAACAGACGTTCTTAGCTCAATATTGATACAATTTCCAGCTCCCAGTGCAAAACCACAGAACTTTCATTGTCAGGAGCTCCAGAGAGCACGCGCATGCACACACACACACACACACATTAGGCACTTTGTTTTATTTTGCAAAAAAAAAAAAAAAAAAAGTCTTTATATATAAACCATTTCATTCTCTCTCAAAACATTCTACAACTATACAGCTGTTTGCTCCGTCATTTGCATAGGAAATACCACAATACAAAAATAAGGTAGGGGGAGGCAAAAGAAGCAAAACAGCAACCAATTTATGCATGTGTTTCCACGTATAAACATTTGAAGCCTTACAAAATTATTTACATCGTTTGTCAACTATTTACATTAAGAGCAACATTTCTAACTATAAGAAACAAAACTATAATTTATCAAGTATATGTAAAATTGTCTTAAAAAAAAAAAAAGTGTCTATCATATACCACAAATAAATAAAGACAAACAACAGTTTTAACAAAGCTAGGTTTTCCTGCAAGACCCTTTTTTGGTATTTTGATTGTCTATTCTAGCCTTTGGTTGACAGCTTAATATTACGGCTTGTGAAGTCCAGACACTTAACCACGTTTGTTTGGTTTTCTCCTGTTGTCTGGCCAAATCCTACACGGTCTAACCTCATCTTTGGCCCTTCATCTACTCTTTCAAGGCTGAACACTGTGGATCAAAGCCACTGTTAGCATAAAAGGGCACCACTTCATTGACTTCAGCGGAGTTTCAGCTACTTTTGTCAGCAGTAAATTTTCCCCTGCGTGTGTCAATCTGAACAGTGGATTAACTAAACTGCACTGTAATTTTAAACAAAATTACTGTATCCTTTACCTTCCAGCAAATTACATGCAATATCCACGTGAAACCAGATCATACCGGTGCTGAACCAGCTTAACATGTCTGTATATGAAAATTGCATCCCAAATCCTTCTTTTTAAAGTGATACTAAGTTTAGCTTATAGTAAGAGGTTTAACGTTCTGTGTTCGTTGTTAACTATCCCCGTTATTTAAGCTTCCAACATTGACTTTACAGTTCGTTATATATGTTTTGCCCTTTTAAGCAATTTGAAAACAAAATCCTGCTTTGAATATTCAGTGCACACCGTTTGAGTTAACAGGTACAAAACATCTGAATGCTCAGCTCGTTTCTCTTACGAAGAATGAAGCTAAGTTGGTACTGTTTTGAGAGGTATTTAAATAACTTTTTTTGTAAATGTGCCGCGTTATAAAATGTAGAACAACTGCTTTTTTCTCCAGATGATTCTTAGAAAACTTTTGTATTAAACCTAAAAAGCTGATTTGCATATTTACAAAATCTTTGTCATAGCAAACATGCAACATACAGAACAAAATGTTTTGTTCTATGGCTGTTTATGAATTTTTCTATCATGTACTTTATCTCCACAGAACGACTTAACATTTAAAAAAACCCCACAAGTCCTAAATATGTCCAGTAAAAACCTGACAGATCACAATTCATGGCTTTTCCACTGCGTTCATTCACCTGCAGCCTCTCATTAATCCGTTTACTAAACATTGTCACAATAATGACAGTGCTTTGGTCAAAAACACCGCAAGAGAAAAAAAAAATGTATAAAGCTGCAATGTGTCAAGACGTAATACTTGTAAAGAGATGAAAACTGCTGACTAAAGCCATATAACACATCATGAGAGCAAACAAACCACTGAACACTCTGGTATTGTGATACAGTGTCTTCCCTTTTTTTCTGCATAAATATACAAAATATACATTTCCAGTTTCTTTTGAGATTTCTTTTAAATGGATAACCCATACTCAAAAATTAAACTAATTTTAGTTGGACGTCGAGAGTCAATAGGAAATTGCATAGATACAAAACAGCCGCAGCGACAAGTCCAGCTTTTAGTTCTGATGCCTCTTCATGTGGAGAGCCAGGTGATCGGAGCGCGAGAAGCTGCGATTGCAGACAGCGCACTGGAAGGGCTTTGCCCCCGTGTGCTTCCTGTAGTGGCGCGTTAATTCATCCGAGCGAGCGAATCTCCAGTCGCAGCCCTCCCACGTGCACTTGTAGGGTTTCTCACCTGAAATGGAGCACAGAGAAATGAGGCGGTCAGCTGTCGCTCTCACCGGTGTGGCATCACATCGAATGGCAACGGTGTTCAAGAGATAAATGACAGAAGAGGAGCTGACGTTTCACAGTTATTCACAGCTCTGTTCAACAGGCCCCAAAATAACAGCCCCTTTTGGTTTTTTGGCGAATTTTGCTCTTGAATCTGCGTTTTAGTACCTCAGTAAAACATAAGAAACTTTCAAACATACAAATTGGAGACAGGTACGGTACAGAAACCTGCATGAGACTGAAATACGCTCCCTTACACTCACCTCAATATGAGAGTTAGTAGGGGAAAAAAAAGCAGTCTCACGTGACAATCTGGCCTAGTTTGTGACTTAGGCTTGCACCTTTTAAAAATGGGTAAATTAAGTTACACAGAGCTTTTTTTAAGAGGTTTGAAATGGGAAGGAAGATTTCTATAAAGATTCTTTGTAGCGTGCAGCTCTGTTCGAGAGCTTCTGATGTGTGAAGAAAGAAAGGGGCACAGTGTGTTAGAAACACAAGGGGGACAGTATTTGCTAAAATATCAGGGGCAATGAAAACTTGCGGTATCCTGCTTTGGGCTAGCTATATATAGGAGAAAGCACCTAAAAGATCAAAGCACCCATTTTCAGAATCGAATGTCTACAATCAGGTGCTTAAATAGCCGTATTTTAGAGGTGGCAAGTGCTCGCTGCCTCCATCAGTCTGTACTGATGTAGGGGGAGCGTGGCGTCTCTGAAAAGTTGCCGTGTTAGAGCAGCTCAGAATACAGCTTCAAAGTACCCAGCTAGTCTTGAATGCAGCGGCCCAAGCACCCAAAATAATTGCATTCATCCATTTTAGAACTATAAATGGGGTATTTTAAGCATGCTTATAATTTATAGATTTGTTTGCTGAAATGGGAGAAACATGAAGCCACAAAGCCAAGATGACTTCTCTGTGAAAGCAGAACTTCAAGCACGTACATACACCTGCTCGGGAGCTGGTATGGACATGATGTCACCACACGAGCAAGCTTCGTATAAATAAAGAGGCTAAGATTACCTATTTATAGGCTATTGGTTGACGTTGGTTGACAAAAACACCTTTCAGTTGGGAGAGTCGATTGCTATCTATATCCTTTATATTAACCTGACCCGTTTGCCAAGAAGAGAAAGAAAACCCAGCTTATCAAAGCACTCGGCCGTAGCTTCATCTGGAGCAGAATCAGACCAAGGCTGAGCTTTCCAGAAAGTCCTTTCCAACACATCTTACGGATCTGCTCCCCCTCCACTGGTCTCAGACCTTTACCCTCACAGTGTCAATCCTTACAGCGCTGTGGAGTGCCTCCTACCTTTCCCTATTTTACCATCGCACAAGCACGCGGAAGGAGGACAGAAGCCAGTATCCTGCAATCAGACTGCTTGTTCTGCACTAGTTATGCAGAGAACACCATTTGAGAAACTCAAAAACATTACTTCAGAGACGCTAATTTATCATTCAGATGAAGTTATGAAACTGTTTCTGTCTGGGAGTTTCTATGGCTTCTTCTGACCAACTAACTAGTAACTTTCCGTCTACTACTAAGAGCAGAATCAGCCCTTTGCTCACAATGGGGACGTGACTTCATGTTGGCAGCACAGTCACAACCAGAACCAGACCTCTACAAGGAAAACTAACGACCCAGCCAAACCACCACCTCTTTGCATAAACGGTTACTGGGATTTATTGAAATCACAGTGGAAACATATCATCCCTTAAGAAAAACACACTTAGAGCCTGGCATCACCTCTCACAGAGTTCAAAATTACTTGGTGGATGGCAAATGAGAACACAAATTATTGCAAGTTTCTATTACAGCTGAATTTACTCTGCCTGATGCTGACTGAAGACTGGAATGATCTGCTATATAGGACTCTCTTTTGCTTCACGCAACATATACTTCAGGTTAAAATACAGATTTCACTCAAACTCAGCGTGCAAAGCTTTTCCAACATCCGAGAAGCCCGTTGAGATAACACATTTGGTCTTCACGGCAGAATGACAGGAAAGGTCTCTATGCGGCGAGGGCGCTTTTGCAGTATGTACATCATCTTTAATGTATTTAAACTGGGTTGTTAATGCAGTCTGGAAAAGGCTGCGTTGCTGATCCATAGGCTTAGCAGCAGGGAGATATTCTGTGAACACTCTGTGTTAAAACACAGGTGCACACACGGAGGTGGCACAAAAGCATTACTCCTGCATTCAAAGCGTCTTAACCTAAAGCCAGTGTATTTCTTTCTCCTTTCTCTCCCCTCTTCCCCCATATTAGCTTCAAAGTCTTCTTTAAAAACCTTCGCTTGAGACTGTCATATTATATATTGATGCTACACTCCCAGTCTTGTGATCCTCCCACTCTAACTGCCCAGAGAGAGCATATATATGGTCAGGCCTCCGTATACTCCAAACACTCGCTCATCCATTTTGTAGAATTACATGGGGAATGAGAGAAACGGTAAAGAGGTCGGGGAGATAGCACTTGTTGAACAAAAGCCTAGGAGTATCCAGGCCGAACCAGACCGGAATGGGGACCAGGGAATTAAAATCACTGTTTCCAAACTTGGCGTCGAGGAGGCACTGAAGCATGTGAAACTTCACCGCGTGCCACACTACACTGTACTGGAAAAGCAGTCTCAAAGTTGTCCCACTTAGGTGGTACCTGACCCCGTCTGAGGCCAAACAAAACCGCTGCCCCCCGGTTAAAACTTTTTCTAACCTGCGAGCAGCATCAGCAGGCGATACGAAGGCTCCTGGCATACAAACCGCCAGCAGTCGGGGCAGCGGAGAACCCTGTGCCTTGCTGGGTGCCACAGCTTCCAAGCCTCAGCTGAATCCAACGGCCAGGCCCCATCAAAACTCCAGGGGACCCAGCTTCCCAGAGACACTACCTAGAAACTTACCCCACTGCCACGGTCACTTCGCTGCCTGCCACAGCCACGAATCCCCCCCGGCAATGGCACTGCAGTGCCACGCAGCCCAGCACCGCTCCTCCTTGCCGGACGACTCCTGCAGACCTGAGCTAAACCCAGCAGCGCTCGGGGGATGCGCGGAGGGGAAGGAGCTGGTGCCTTACACAGATTGTTTTAACAGTGTTACTTTTATGTCCTGGAAATTAAAGCCAGAACGCTGCTTTTAACCCCTGCTTTGGCCAACACTGAGAACTGGAAAATGTATTTTTAGCGCCAGTGCAGAGGCCCAGATTATTTTGAATAAATCCTAGGGGTAAAATACTGAATATCTATGTTTGTAATACTAGTTTCCGTTGGAAAGTTCTATTTAAGAACTGAATCAATTTAAAATGTTTTCCTTTTGGGCAAGGAGGAAGGAGGGGGCAAGAAAAAGAAAGTGGAGATTATTTTCACTCCTTTAAAGAAAGCAGAAGAACAACTAGCTGGTAGTATTTTCTCTCTCTCAACCTATACACATGCTTTTTGTTATTTAGCAGAAATACGAATTTGGTTTAAGTTCCTGCGGCAAGGTAAAAAGAGCCTCACGTTACATATTTTCTGAAGTGATCCTGCTTCTTTGCTATGCTGACTTTAAAGCGCTGAGAAACCCGGGGTTGAAGATTTATTTTTAAAAAAAGCAGGTATACACAACAAGGGACACAGAACCCTTTATCCACTGTTTTCATTGGCTACATAGTAATGTAAGTTTTGTTTACTTTAATGATTGTGCGAAATACAGTAGCTGTAAAGTTTCAGAAATATTTGGTTTTCCTCCAGCAATTTAGGGTTTCTATAGGGTGTTAAACCAAGAATGCCACTGGTCATCAAATACGAAGGCAGTACGGCTCGGTTACTGGAACACGATCGTGGTATCAAACAGATATTTCACTGTAAAAGCAAGAAAACAGCTAACTCCTCCACTTCAGGGGAGCTTCCACGGGATTTGTTAGAATGTCAACACTGTTCAACTAAAACACCATGGAGGAAGCTGGTACCGATTTCCAGCCAAATAGCACACTCCAACCCTTTCTTCCCAAGCCAGAAATATTATACACAGCACTTCTGGGAAACAGAACTGCTTTCCTTTAAATTATACTTCAACAGGATAGGGATTTCATAAGTTTAATTGGATTTCTGTATAACCTCCTTCCAGTATCACTGATTTAAAATATTTTGCTAGGCTTATACATCACAAAATATATTTTTAAGTTCTTCAGCTGTTAATATGTATCCATTCTCCAGTTTAAAAAAAATACGTTTGTGGAGCATGAGAAGCAGACTTGTACTTGAGCACAGAAATTTTAAGCCCTCATGTTTAGTTTGGAAGCTCTTTTACAGAAAGCACCTAGCAAGAGATAAGGGAGTTTAACCTGAAAGGAGGCTATTTTGCTTGCAACGTGTCTGTCTGTTAAAAAATACTATTTATAATGCTGTGAGATTGCAAGGATGTCAAAAAGATGCCTGGATAGCCACATATAACATGCTAACCTCATCAGCCACTTCAACAGATAAACTACCCCAAGGCAGATCCCAAGGTTTGGGATCCTCTCCGATACCACAAGAGAATGGTCTGGACCAGCAGAGGCACTCCGCCTTGGCTCTTCTCCCTTTAATTTATCTTCTCGGGATTTAGTCGTTTCAAAATACATGGATTGTTTTCCTGACATTCATTCTAGCCACTGGCAGTGACCGTCGTGGCCATGCTCATTTGGGTAAGGTACGGTGCTGCCAGGGGAGGGGGGTGACGCTCATTTTGAAGACACCCTCTATCTTCAACACGTCTGTTCAAGAAAATGTTTCTGCTTAAAATTCTGTTTGGAAAAAACCTGCATTAGTGGTGAATTTCCCCATCAACAACAAAATGGGCTGCTTTACTTCACCGAACAGTTGTGTGAGTTTATTTCTGCAACTCACTGCTAAGGATGGCTTGCTTTAAATACAAAGCTGCAAACAGCAAGGGCCTGACTTTCAAACCTAAAGTTAGGTAACTCTGTTGGCATGCAGAAATCCAGATACAGGT